GCATTTAGATTACTTACTTTAAAAATCTGCATCTGTAAATCATGTATAGAAGCCAGAACCTAAAAATAGAGGCTACTCCATGACCCAATTCTCAGTCCTAAAATGAGGGCATCAGGCTAATGCCCTGGGCTGCCCTCGTTCCAAGTCTGGCTTGGAGCACTTATCTACTGTGAAACTGTCCGGCAAGTTACTGAATCTCTCTGATTTACTGTTCCCTCATCTGTAAAATGCAGATAATAGTTTCTACTTTGTAGGGTTGAAAGGTTAGATATCACAATTCTGTGTAAAGCCCTTAACTCAGTGCCTGGCCCACGATAAGTAATCAATAAGTAGTAGCTGTTACCATCTAAGATCATTCCCATCCTGTAGAGAAAATAGAGAACAAACAGCTCATTAAAAGCTATGTGTCCCCATCTCCTGTAAACAATGCCCACTGATTCTTTCAGAGCGTATTTACATGAAGAGGAGAAAGCATTTGCAGAGGATGACTTGGTGGACTGCCTTGAACCCAGATCAAAACTGCTAACATGAAAAGGATTCTATGAAATGGAACTCTTGGCAATGCCTTTGCTGCCCTTTTGACTACTTGCAATGGGATTAGTGACTTGCCTGGTTTCTCGGTCTTACTGATGACTCTGTGTGTGTGTGTGTGTGTGTGTGTGTGTGTGTGCACGTCCCCATCCCAAAACACTCCTGCATGGCAACTCAGCGACCCCAGTCCTTGTCAGGATGCTTGGGAAGGCATAGACTGACCAGCCAAGCGGGAATCCTACCCACACCCGACGGTCCCACTTCATGGAAGCCTATTTTTAGATGAAGAAGGGGCCCTGCACTTTTCTGTGGGTGGAATCCCCCCCTTAAAAAGGATTTCTAAGGGCTTAACCCCCTAGGGTTCCAGGAAAGAAGGGAAATGACTCCATATCACTAGCTGGGAAAGTGGGCCAGCGTAGGGGAGCGGGCACTAGTCACTCTGACCACGTTGCTTATCAACAGCAATCCAGGGAAGACAGTTAGCATGTTGATTCTCATCGGGGCGCCCAGAATCGCTTCCCCAGGCTGCGCTGCTCTCCGTAGTCCCCTAGAAGGGTAGCCTCAATGTGCCTGGGCCAGGCACACGGGTGTCCTGCAGAAGTCTGGGCTGCCAGAGGAGCTTATCTTCAGTGTGTCCACTGCAGTCTCGGGCAAAACCCTAGAAGCCGCAGCAGAATGGAGGCGGGAAGGGGCCTGAGGTTGTGAAGGAATTTGCAGTCATGCCCGTGAGTCTGGGAAACCTTCATCAAACATGCAGGGCCTGTCCCACGGAGGAGGTCGTGGACTTGGGTTGGGGCCACTGGGCGAAGGGCAGGGAGCCAGAGACCGTGTCACCATGAGGACACCCAGAGGGCCACGAGCTCCTCGTCTGCAGAGGCACGAAGGCGTCGGCTGTGGCCGCACTCCACGTGGGCGGGAAGCTGGACAAGGTCACCACTAGGCCCCTTCCAGCCCCAACTCACCAGCCAGTGGATTCACACCTGTCAGGGCTGGACAGAAAACGTCCGCATCGCCCGGGGCCTGCGCTGACAGCCCAGGTTGTGAAGTCTTAGGACAGAAAAAAGAATGGGATCTCAATTATTTTTCTACGCGGTGTTCTGGATATGAGTGAAATTAAATGTATTGAAATTTATTTCCGTATTCGCTGTTTCCGAGTTCAGCAGAGGTTTTGAGATATGAACTCAGTTTTCTCAGCCCTGGGGACTTTCATTTAAAGATGAGACCATGAAAACTCAGTCCTGAAGGCGTCTGCTTTCCACAGGGTCATGCATTCACTAAGCATTTCTGGCATTTTGTCCTGCCCTCTGCCTTTTCTGAGAATGTCAGTAAGGCATAAACCTTATCTGAGAATGTCAATAAGGCATAAACCTTATTCATCAAGGAAATTTATAAAATAAAGAATAGGAAACTTTTGTTAAGGACAAACGACCCTGTTAAGAATTTGATGTGGTCCTTGACAGGTGAATACTGGAAACCTACGTGCATCAAACATTTGGCGTGTGCACAGGCCAGGTGTAGTGAAGCTGCAGTTTCTGTTGATGTGTAGGAGGGTTACCGGCGCTCTAATCCCTGCTAATTGCATCAGGTTCGCAGTTTCTTTAAATTTAAATAAATACGGTTTTCAAAAACTGGAAAGGCCTGAGGATGTGGGGAGGACAGGAATGATATTTTTCGCTGTCTCTGTTTCCTGGGAGAAAGTACGGTTGCTTCTTCAAAACAACATCTGTCAGAATGATTTTCATCAGATTAAATAAATCCTCAAAAGCCACTATCACAGTTTATAGAATCTTGGAAACGTAGGTTATGCTTCGCGTGGAACCCTAATGGAATTTAAAATATGTGTGTTTTTGCAAACACAGCTTTGAGAGCAGACTCTTTACTGGGGTTTGTGAATTTAAGCTACCATGTCTCAAAGAGTTTAGAAAGTGTTTTTACTACATAAATGTAATAGACAATCGTTTACCAATTTGAGATGCTATTAATTGTAGATGGAAAAGGCATTGAGCTTGGGGCTCTTTGGCCAAGCCTGATGAAAACCAGCATTGCACACTCTGACAAAGAGCTGTGTGAAAACAGGTACCACTCTTAAGTATGGCACGAGAGGCCAGGCTTCTGTCATCTTTTCACAGGCAGCTGCCATATGTCCTTAGGGTCAATTATGGCCTTTTCAGTTTTTTAGAGGAGAGAGAACTTCGTTGCCACGGGGCGGGGGGCAGGGTGGGGGTGGTTATGTCCTAAAGACCTTGAATGATCAATACAGATTGATATTTATTATTCCTTGCTGCAAAAAGCTTACTCTTAAAATTAGTTGCTAAATTTAATCCCAGTGAGATACCGCTTCACACCCATTAGGATGGCTACTATCCAAAAAAAAAAAAAAACCCAGAAAATAATAAGCTGTGAGCATGTGGAGAAACTGAACCCTGTGCATTGCTGGCGGGAATCTAAATTGGTGGAAATGCTGTGGAATGCCATTTCTTGGTTCCTTTACAATATTAGAATCTAGAGCATGGTTCTCAAGCTTCAGATGCGAAACCCTTGGCTGTGAAATCCCTGGAGACAGCCTGTGGTTGATTTGGACCAGTCAAAGCAAGATTCCTTGGATTCCAAACAAATCCAAACGTACTACATTAGGGACTTAACACTTGAGCCAAACTTACTCATCCCTGGCTGACTATTGATCCCACAGCCAAATCATATTTGTAATAAAAAAAAAACCCAACCCAGTTAACCACACAACAAAAGCTAAATAAAACAAAACCAACGTCATATAGGGAACATTTCTGTGCTGCTTAGTAAGACTTGAAGTTTCTTAGTCTCATGGAGTAACAGAAATTACTTGGGGGAATTTGGGGTGTTTTTGTTAAACTCTTTGGGATGTAAACAGTGAACTTTCTGAATCCTGAGACTTTTGCCTGCAGCAAAAGAAAGCTAAAACAAGGATCCCTGTGGCAGGGTGGAACAACAGAGCTGGTGGAAGGCGAGCTGGGCAAATCAGGGATGGATTCCACTCTGCCTGCCCACAAGACCAGCCTTAAGCAAAACTGGCCACTTCTGGGAGCATCTCACTTTCCCCACTGGCCGGCCTTGCATTCAGTACAGCTCCTGGGTCCCCTTACCTCTGACTGAGGCATTTCAGAGGTGTGCACACCTATGTACTACCTGGAACTGTGTTCTGATGCTTTTAAACTACGACACATGCAGTTATTTTTTTTAAAGGCATAGAAGAGTCTATAATACCATAGAAGTAAGCTCGCCAGATACTAAGTGCAGAAAGCAGACTACAAAACAAGGTGATTCTTTTGGTAAGAAAAACGGAAATTTAAGAAGAAAACAAGTGCATCTGTCTATCCATAGAAAGAAAGGCTGGGAGCACATCCCATGTGTTAACAGTGGATATCTCCAGGTGGTAGAACTACAAGTGGTTTTAACGTGCTTGGCTTGTTGCTTTTCAACGATGAACCATGTACTGCTTTGGTCCTATATTCTGTCCCCTCAGTATTGGTGACAGGGTGGGCCAGCTTAGTACCATGAAAGAGATTAAGAAATGGCAAGTTTGTTTTCTACATCTGTGACTCTATTTCTATATTGTAGATATGTTCATTTGTACCTTTTTTAGATTCCACATATAAGTGAAATCATATGATATTTGTCTTTCTCTGACTTCACTCAGTATGACAATCTCCAAGTCCCTCCATGCTGCTGCAAATGGCATTATTTCATTCTTTTTTATGGCTGAGTAATATTCCATTTTATATATATCTGGAGAAAAACATAATTCAAAAAGACACATGCACCCCAATGTTCACCGCAGTACTGTTTACAATAGCCAGGACATAGAGGCAACCTAAATGTGCATCAATGAAGGATTGGATAAAGAAGATGTGGTACATATATACAAAGGACCAAATGTTTTTAATACTTGGGGTCCTGTAGGGGCCAGGAGCTTTGCATCGGCTCTGGGATCTCCCCCATTAGAAGCTTCCAGAAGCCGTGGACTCTGCGAGCACTCTGAAAGGGTAGCCACCCAGCCCATAGGACAGGAAACTCCCTGGTTGGAGTCTCCCATTTATCCAGCATGACCCTGCTCCTGCCCTGCTCCGGGGAGCACCCAGGTCCATATCTCTTGAGACCAAAACTACTGTGCTTGCCCACAGTTACAGTTTAAGGATTAACCAAAAACCGAAAGAGGGCTCTTTGGTGACGCGCCCGCTGTCTGCTACGATCATTCTCCGCTCTCTGCCTGAGCTCAGCCTCCGCAGGAGGAGGACCCGCAAGTGTCCCGAGTGCAGCAGCCAGCGGGTCCGTGTGATGAAATAACGGGAAGAGGTGTGCCTCCCGCTTCCCGCGCCCTCCCGAGGGTCCTTGTTTGTCACACGGCCCTGAAACCAGTCTCCACATTCGCGTCACCTGCGTGTGCCTCTGTTGTGAGTCGTGATGGTCAGTGTGTTTTCCTTCTTGTCTTCCAGTCCACCCAGACCGACCGTGTTCATCTCCGGTGTTATCGCCCGGGTAAGAGCCCTTTCATCACATCGGGGCCTCGGCCCGCGATGTCCTGATTCCTCCTGTCCTTATTCAACCCCACCTGTCCACCCAGGTCCGGAGGTCACTTAATCAATCGCCCCCTGTCCATGGAGCGTGCTTCTGTGCATCCGCCCGTCAGGGGCAGATGGGACGGTGGTGACGCGGAGCCCACAGCCTGAGCTGGTGCAGCTGCCTCTCCTCTGTCCTCGCCCGTCTCCCTTCTCTTTAGGCTCAACCAGGGTCGGCAAAGGGTTTCAGGGTGATCTGTGAGCTGAGACTGTTTTTACATTTTAAATGGTTGAAAATTTGAAATAAGAACTATATGGCGTGACGTGAAAGTTACATGGACTTTAAATTTCTGTGTCCATGGGTAAACTTTTAGTGGCACACAGCCTTGCTGTCCATGGATGTATATCATCTATGGTCCTTTCATGCTGCACTGGCAGAGTGCAGAGAGTATGACCTGAAAAGCCTAAAATATTTACTATCTGGCCCATTACAGAAGATAGTTGCTGCCCTCTGAACCAAACTGATGGGTTTGGGTCACTCTCTTTGCCTTTCAAGAGCCCCCTCTTCTTGTGAGACCTAACGTTTTTGTAACTGCAGACCTCCTCCCAGCAAGCCCCCATTTGGGGGACAGTGCACTAATTCCATCCATCGATCTGCGGCTCACAGCCCATTCGAGCCCTTAGCATATGATGTGTAAAGAAAATGCCACTGTTGGGGACAGCTCAGCACAGCCACCCAGGGACCCTGGGACAGAAGGATGGCACATCTACTACATGCGAGGAAATTAAATGCCCACACAAATCTGAGGTCACCCCACAGCTCAGCCAAGAGCTCACCATGGCTCTATGCTGCCCGGGGTGGGCTGGACCCCAGCCCCTGTCACAAATGCACAAGAAGGCAATTCCTCCCTAAAAAACAGCTGGGTACCTTCTCTGAGACTCGGCTGGTTGAATCTGGCTTATCTCACAGCTTCCAGCCCTGCCCTGTGTGTTTCCTTCCCGATGAGCGCTCCAGGCCCAGCTCGCAGCTGTGGCAGCAAATCTGAATTTAAGACCCTGGATTTGGTTCTGTCTTGCCCCTCAATTCAAAAAAATCACAAGAACTATTCTAGCAGAAGAAAGCCATCCAACACCCAGCTTAGTTCTGAGTGAGTCATGTGGTACCTGATCCCATGGCGTGGCGGCAGAGACAGCGAGCTTTCTCACCTTCTGGAAGGGACACGGGCCTTGGTGCCTGCTTGGGCTCTCCAGAGAGCTTCAGGACCCCCAGCAGTCCCAGGAGACAGGCTTCTACCTGCCGACAGGTTCCCCACTCCATCACCCACCCGCCCCGTCCCCAGAGGGAAGCCAGAAGATGCTGGGTTTGCGTCTTGCTTCACGTACTCACTCAGCTGTTCACGGTTGATGAGCCAGTGCTTTCCGTGTCTCCCGCCAGGGCGACAAGGACTTCCCCCCGGCGGCCGCCCAGGTGGCCCACCAGAAGCCCCACGCCTCCATAGACAAGCACTCTTCCCCGAGGACACAGCACATCCAGCAGCCTCGCAAGTGACTGGCGAGGACCCAGCGCCCTCACCAGCCGGGCCTCAGTTCCCCGACACTTGGTATTTCCCCAGCAAAGAGAACTGGCATTTTCTTCAAAACACTGCTCCATTGGGAAATTTAAGACAGAGCAAAGAGCCCCTTCCTTTGCCTTGAATTTCCATATCTAAAGCTAGAATCAGACCCCAAAGCTTGTTTCCAGGGAGTCCTGGCAGATGTTGTCTGCGAATCACTGTGGCGCTACAAGTGCCATTAGCAGAACTTGCTAAGACTTGAGTGAAATGGAATTGTTCAGAGTTTAGCTTCAGTTCCGGTTTATGAATTGCCCTGGTCTTATAAACAAGCAGGCACAAATTTGGGAGGGTTAGATCAGGTCAGGGGAAAACTCAATCATTTCATGCTTTTCGGTAAGAGGACAATAAAGTCTTAATACCTAGTGGGGAGAGAAAGAGATGAGAGCGTTAATTACAGAAAAACTGAGCAGGGGAGACTTTTGAAACAGGCAACAGCATCACTGCATTTCTCTCCTTTGTGTGATGAGGGATCACAGCACAGGGCGACACCAAGCACTCCCAGGAAAACCAAGGAAAAGCTTACAGCTTTGAAACGGCTCTTTCATTCCAGGGGTCATCTTGCTGAAAAATTTGCCCAAAGGGAATACTTCCAGAACGAGGTTTCTCAGTGTGGGTCCCAAGTCCTGCATTGCCCCACCATCCAGACGGGCTTGCCGTGAAATCAAGGCAAACCTTCATTTTTTCAGTAATCACCTCTAGAGCTGCTCTTGAGCTCTGGGAGTGATCACTGACCAGGTGGAGGAATAGATGCATAGCTAATTCTGGAACACTAGAGCAAAAGCATTGACCACGTGGGAAGACGAGACGAGAACCTGCCCTTTGTCTCCCTAGGGAAAAGTAGAACTACCACGTGCCATTTGAGCTAGAAAAGCCTGTTTGTCCATCAGTCGAAGTGTCAGGAACTCCCTCTGCCCAAGGGCACATGTACCTGGGCCCCTGTCCACTTGGGCCTCTCAAATTATCCTACGCTTTCTGCCCGGGTTTCCTACCCAGAGCTGCCTTAGACTGCTCGCTGGCTGATGGTTATTGGGTGCTCTGCTTTTCTGAAAAGCCAATGGGCTCGTTCACTCAGTTGTTCAAATCTCCCGGAGCAGATGCTTCGGGAGAGGGTGCAGCCCAACTGGCACACTTGCCAGCATGGTGTTTGCCGCGGGGTCAGCAGTGGGCACACCACAGCCTTTCTGAAGCCCTTTCCAGCTCCACATCCGTGACTGGTAAAGGTGACACAGACCTAGCAGACCCAGCTCTCACCCTTCCCTAAGGAAAAAGCTGGCCCTGCTTCACATCCTAAAGGCAATATTTGGTTTCCCATCTCACTGACTTGCGGCAGCCGGGGTCTCACCCTCAAGGCACCGTGTAGTCACCTCTCATACTTCTTAATCGCTGAGATGTTGCTAAAAACTGAGGCTGGCTTTTACAGATGCAGACAGGGCAGGCAGCCTCCTCCCGGCCGTCTCCCGGAGCCGGCATCTCAGAAGGATGCTGAGAGCAGGCAGCACTAGGTCAGTCTGGGGACCACTGCACCCTCCGCTGCAGAAATGAAGACGCGTCCTTGATACTTTTTAGTGTGGCAGCCAGGACTGCCATGCTGTTTCCCAAGGTGCATTTTTCTTGTCCTTTTAGCTACATCTGGCATGTATCTGTAGATCACTGAAAGCAAAATGTTCTTCTGAATGAGTTTATCAATGGTTAAGCTCAAGAAGAAGAATGATTATAATAAAGCTCCTGCGTTTCTTCTCATGGTTTGTTTTTTCTTACATCTCAGAGACTTTTCCTTTTCATTTTACTGGAGTTGCCAGATGGTTTCAATAGAAATACGAACATGCAAAAATGAGGGGTATTTTCACAAATTGTTTCCCAGACACAAAGCCAAACTATTGGACAGCAGGGCACCTTGAGTCTAATCGTCTACTTTAAAATGTCATAAAATGGAAAAGCTTAATGCAGTTGATTAAAACGCATTCCTAGGGTTCAG